CCCCTCCCCCTTGTCAACAACTGTCAACCATTTCCAAACCCCCTCACCCTTGTCAACAACTATCAAACATTTCCAAACCCCCTCCCCCTTGTCAACAACTGTCAAATCTTTCCAAACCCCCTCCCCCTTGTCAACAACTGTCAAACATTTCCAAACCCCCTCCCCTGCCTATTTTGTTGATTACTTAAAGGACGGCCACTTTCTTAATTTATTTTTTAAATTTTAATTCGTTATGTTTGGAGATTTCCAGGAGTCCTTTAACTAATGTACTTTCAAATAAAATCAGAATCTGAAAGGCACGAGCCAGAGTAGGCGCGTCATTTGCATATAAATATATAATATAATATGTAATTAGTAATAAGGCCTAAACTAATCACCTCCTAATGACTAATGATACTGATTGATTAGTAGGCTAAGCTTGTTGAAATTATATTGCCTAGTGGCAAAAAGTCAAAAAAAGAATGATACATTTTGGGAACAAGGCAAGACGACTTTCTATTCTTATGTAGATCTAGTTTAAATAAGATAATATGTTTAGAGGCGGCAAAAAAATTGGTTGTCTTGTATAATAACAAAAAAAAAACCTGTTCCAAATTTACCCTAAATAAAATTAAGGCATTATGGGCTTAAATGAAAACGAGTGTGTTACAGTGTAGGGCAGCAGTAGGCTGAACACACAACACCAACAACAACATACACGTTCACGTAGTATTTAGGTCAACGTCTACGTACCTGTAGTAATTTTAGACGGTGCGATGCATACATGGGCCCGGTTAGCTCAGTCGGTAGAGCATCAGACTTTTAATCTGAGGGTCAAGGGTTCAAGTCCCTTATCGGGCGTACATTTTTTTTTATTTCCCAGTAAAGCATAACAAACCTTTATAACAATTATTGTTAGCCTTAACTGAAAAAAACAACAACATAAAAATTGTGTATTGTAAATTCAAATCATTATCTCATTGAAACATCACACTTTTTAACAACAACAAAATTTAAGACAGAAGTACCAGTTAAATTACTCAGTTAAGCAGATGCTTTAAGTAATATGAATCCTCAGATGGGGTCTCTGGGTGGTTGTCTATTTTAGTTCTTGATCTCTACTATATAATGGGTCTACTAATAATATCAACATCTTTAGGTGCAGGGTTACCTAAAAAATAAATAAAAAATAAACGAATTAAACAAATAAAAGAAACAAGATGTATCTTGGCGTTAAAATAAAATAATTAATGTGACAATTTTTCAACCTAAAATACTCACTGCTGTAAAATATTTTATAAGTTCTTCAGGCATTGGAGGAGGGAAGAGGGGGGGGGATGGGTGTAGTAAAAGTTGAAATGGCAACACTTTTGTAAATTCCTTCCCATTTTAATGGGAGGCATTTGAAAAAATCAACATTATGCTTATTTATCTGAATGATTAGTATCTTTACTCTAACTTTAGTATAACTAAAATGTCTAATTATTCCTAATTATGTCATATCGCGTGGGTTAGCGATGGAGAGAGAGTGTGAGCCAGCGGGTCTCACTAAGGTGAGGACCAAAGGGTCTCAACAATCGCACACGTCACATACATACTATAAATCCATGAAAGTTATTATGTTTACATTTGCCACATCAAGTCAACAGCAACAAAGCTAAAAATAGTTTAGTTGTTTTTTTTTTCTTTAAATTGACACCGTGCTTAATCGTTATATGTGCACATCGATAGCGCCTTGTATTTTAGTTTTAATGTTTCGTAGGCCACCATGTGACTATGATATGATTTACAGATTTTAGATGTATGTCAAAATTTATGAGGATTTTATATGGAGCATGCCGGTCATACATAAAGTACAATTCGTAGTCACCATTTTATCAAATTTCATTTTTTTCAAATTTAACAAAGAAGCAGTTTTAACTTCAAAAAAATTTTTTTTTTAAAATCAACCAGTGATTCTCAAATAGTCTAACATTTATTAAAAGTGATTACTGGTATGTCACATGAGGTCTACCCCAAATTTTTCTCAACCTGAGGTCCACTGAGCTTGGATGTTGATTAGAGTATGTTTCTGTTTTCTTTATATGTGGTTCAATGTCCGATGAAACAAGAGCAGTTTGGTTTTAACATCTACTACAGTGGTTCTTAAACTTTTCGTCAATCGCCCCCCCCACCCAAACCTTGTAAAAAAAAAGTGTCACAAATTCTCGACCCCCCCCCCTTCCCGCGAGCGTGACGTAATTTGCGTGCAATCCTTCACGAAATCTTGTATGATGCATACAAGAAAACCTTGCTTTTTTTTTTTTTTTTTTTTTTGAGAAGCATCGTAAAATATAGTTTACTGCGTGGGTGTCTTTTGAAGTGTGTCATAAAGTGATGACAAATATACTAAGTTATTGATTGCCTTGTCAGGATGTGCTTAACTCAATTGTTCATCTAGCATAGAATACCTCATGGCCTCATTTAAAAAGACATTTTCGAATGTTAGGCAAATTGGCAACAGTTTTTTGTTGTTGTTGTTGTTGTTGTTGTTGTTGCTGTTGTTGTTGTTGTTGTTGCTTTTGTTGGGTTGTTTAAATCTATACCTAAGATATCCCAAGCTCTATATTGTCTCAATCGTTGCCCCTGCAACTTATATCCTGAAATTGTTTCAATATTAATTTAAAAACTAAGTTGATATGAAACAACTTCCGAATAAGTGTGTAAGCCTGTGGATCATTAAGATCACTAAGATGAGAAATTATCAAACTAGAATAACGGTTTGAGTGGGCGTGGTTTGACAGCAGGTGCGATAGCTAACTACCAGTTTTAAGTTCTCCCTCACCAGCCGCTACGAAATGATGTCACATGGTTACAAAATTTTCAACGAAAACTGTTTTAAAATATACATAATATCAGGTGTATTACGTGCAGACAATATTCCAACAACAACTACAATGTCGAAACTTAAATTTCATTCTGGTCAGCGCTAGTTACATTTTAGAAAACTGGACAAAGGTCTTGTTTATTAATGGCATACAGTTGTTATCTGTAAACTCCGACCTCCAGGCGACGACCAGTCTCTCCTACGTATGATGTTCCGCACATTTACAAAGGTTGAGAACCGTTGCTAAGTTACCATGGTACAAGACTCCATACATGAAATTGATGTCTTAATTATTATTATTATTGTTTTTAAGTCCACCTTTTTCTGCAAACCATTTCACAAGTTGGTGTTGCAAGGGCGTAGGAGAGTGTGGTGGGGGGGGGCACTGTACGGGGGCGGTCGGCTCCGGTTGTTATTTATTTTCGGGCGCCATTTTCAGAACACGTCATTTACTTTATACAGCTGTGCGCGTGCTTTGTATATATATTTTTTTTGTTGTTGATTTTTTGGTTTAAATAATTGGAGTCGGGAAATCAAGGAGCACACAAGGCGTCACAGACTCGAGCTACTCCAGTCTGGCCTTGTCAAAATGAACGACGCATTGTGCGACCAACTGAACATAGTTACCCCAACCCTAAATTAGGTTAAGGACTAGCGGAAGAAGGTGGGGCGGGTGTTGTGGTAGCCCCGGCTGGCACTATCTTTCTATATATTGAGGGGCGTCGTTTTTCTGCCAACTGCAGTTTTTTTTTTTTTTAGAGGGGGCGTCAAAAATCACGTCCAGCCCCTATCTACGCCACTGTAGTTACGCCCATTGTCATACACGCACCACGAATTGTTTATATATGAAGTTAATTATATTATGCAGGTGTATAACACAGTCTTGAAAAATTATTCAACCCGGCCGGGGCTTATCAGGTGTCGCAAGCCAGTCCAGGCCGTTACTCTGGTAGGTACCTGGGCACACCACCAGGCCACCAGACAGGTCACAGAATATTCGGGACGTCCGTCTGCTGGCGTGGACAGCGTGCTGGTGAAGAAGTATCATGTGACTAAGAATAAAAACAGCTACAGTCTATGTAAGAGTTCAATAAGTTGGTCATATAGCATTCAAGTGGATATAGCTACAACCGAAAGGTCAGTGTGTATCCTATACAAAGAAAATGGATCTTATGTTTTACATGTATGGTTATTATAATCCATCATACAAAACATTCATAGCTTTCCAGGTATTCTCAGGCTGTTGTCATGAATTTAAAAATAACCAAAACCCAGCTTGAATCCTCTTCATAGTTTGAGAATCTTATAGGTTTAATTACGGGTTGTATTGTTTGAAACACGTGACTAATTTCCCAGCACTGTCACGTCTTTTTAGATATGGCAAATTTCAAACAGTTGCATGACGCTATTTTGGATGCAGAACCATCGAGGCAGGTTATCGCAAAACATTTTATCTCAATGGCCTGTATCACAGACCTGTAGATACAGATGTCAAATAGAAATGGTCGTTTAAATGGCGTAAAGCATTTTTTTTTAATATCTTAGTTATCGCCGGGTTTACGCTGCCACCGAAACTGACTTTCGTTTGTACGTTTTTCTTGATAATTCTATATAATGTGAACCACTGGTGTAGGAAGGGTGGGGCGGCAAAGATTTTTCCCCGCCCCTGTTGGCACTAAACCTAGGTACGCCGCTAATGTGGACTCCTACAGATTAGAAGACAAACCTTCCCCCACCCCCCCCCCCCTTCCGAATTGGAAACGTTAAGACGTAGCAATAATCATAATTTGCCTTTTCAAAACACTTGTACTTCATTAACCTTTCACCACCCCCCCCCCCCTTCCGAATTGGAAACGTTAAGACGTAGCAATAATCATAATTTGCCTTTTCAAAACACTTGTACTTCATTGAAAATTATGATCTTCTCCAGCCTACTCGTACTGACCAAGCTTTTAATTGAACTGTTCTCAAACCATAGGTCTCGACCCATTTGAGGGATCGAACGACCCTTTCATAGGGAGGCGCCTAAGACCATCGGAAAACGAATTTTTATGAAGTAGCAACGAAAAATTTTTTTTTACGTTTAGAGGTCACCACGATATGAGGAACTGTATTAAAATGTCGAAGGTTGAGAACCACTGCTCTAATGGGAATGCTGGATAACCTACAAAGTAAACAATAGTTCGAAAGTTTTTGGTGAATATTACGATTAAAAAAGCTAGAATAATTCTAGCCATAGTAATATTGATGTATGTTAATAGTGAATGATAAAGGCGAAATTCCTAGTAAGCGCTCTTTAAAATTTAGAAGCTTTTCTAAAAACACGATTTCTCGTTTGTACAGACACAGTAATCGGAGCAGCACTTGTGCTTTGCTGAGTAAATAGTCTTTGAAATTTAAGGTTGTTCCTTTAAAAAAAAATATATTTGGGAGCTGATGTGACAGATAATAACTTATGGTTTTGGACCTTGACTTCACTCCTGCTCCTTGGTAAACCGTTTGCCCAATCGCAGGCAATGCGCTGCTACCGATGCTCCCGATTTCTCAATAGATTTAGTTGTCACTGAAACAACTCTAGTGTTGCTACTTCTGAGGGTTACTACCACTGATGCAGGCAGAAAACATAGATTTATGACTTCAGACTTGTCCTTTCAGACTTATGACTTCAGACTTATGACTTTAGTCTTATGGCCTCCGGCATTATAACTTCAGACTTGTGACTACAGACTTATGAGTTCAGTCTTATGAAGCGAGGCTTATGACTTCAGGCGTATGACTTCAGGCGTATGACTTCAGGCGTATGACTTCAGGCGTATGACTTCAGACTTGTGACTTCAGACATATGACTTCAGACTTTTGACTTCAATCTTATGACGTGAGGCTTAAGCTTGAGGCTTATGACTTCATACTTTTGACTTCAGACTTATGACTTCAGACTTGTTGTGATTTTAATGGTGGATTCAAAAGAAATTAAAATGTGTCGTCACCTATTACTGAAATGTTTAATTATAATCTTCAGAGTCGTTTTTTTCAATTTACATTTTTTGCGACTCTATATTTGCCTCACCAAAAAAAAATAAATTATGGGCTGGCAGATCTAAGATCGATGACCCCATCTAATGAAGGATTTACAAGACAGTACTTCTGGGAACATGTCTAGTGCGATTCTTCCCAAAACCAAGCAGAGCTACTGTTACCCTGTCTGAGACCGCTAATGTAAAGACCCTGATGAACGTGACCTGTTCTTTAAAAAAAAAAAAGAATTAGTTGCTACCAAACTGGGATTGTTTGAATAAATAAATAACTTTTCACCACACGTTCAATAGTCACGCCATCTAGGGGTTAAGACCCCCATATTTCAATGTTATTTAAAATTGTTACAAAATTTTGTACAAAAAAAATCGTTTTTTTTCCTTCCTTCATAGCAATGGAAATATGTTGTTGTTGTTGTTGTTGTTGTTGTTTTAAAGTTCCGTTTTTTTTTAAAACTGTTTTTTTTAATACTGTCTTGCAAAGATAAAATTCATCTAAATGTGACAACAAAAATTAACTTCCCGCCAACCCTCTAAAAATAGACAGGTCTCCCCCCTCCCCACACACACACCTTTTCAACAACAACAAAAAATCCCACCCGCCCTTTAAAGATAAACGCCCAGTATTGCCCCCCCCCCACCCCACAACCCTTTCTGCCACCTTCCAAACATATCTCCCAGTGAATCTGGTGTGACGTCCCAGACTGAGGCCCGATTATGGTCAAACAATGTAACCCATGCCCCAGCATGCACCGTTGTTCCAACAGTACCGTTACTGCCAGGCGCCATGACCAATTCACTTATCCCTTGGTCCACTGCGACACGACTGGTCACCACAGCTTCAGGATATGTTGTAATGTGTCATAGTAAAAATTGAACAAGCAATGTGTTGATTATAACGACATACTTTTATGTTCACTAGGGATAAGGAAACGATCTACAATTTTGGAATATCTGGGGAAAAAAATTGGTAATCGGTTAAAAATTATGCCAAGTATCGATGTTTTGGTAACATTGACTCGATATTTTCAGCGTTAAAATAGTTTGTTAATTAAAAGAGAATAATGAATTAACCAGATGTAATGAAAAAGTGTCCAAAGTAGATTATAATACATTAACTAGATGCATTTCAAGTAAATTGCGTTGTATTTGTGAATAGCATAATGAAAAACTGTTCAAAATATATTATGTGATGAACGACAAAACGTATTTCCTGTGTGAGTGGGAGCATATGAATTAAACATTAAAGTAATGCTTTCAAACCTGGTTGAGTTATAAAGTACAAGTAAACGAAATCTTTTAATTTAAGGTAAGGAAAATTGTGTGTCATGGTGTATCCGATTACGCTTTCGAATAACGCATTTTTTTTTCTTCTTCGATTACAGATTAATTGTCCGTCATATTCAAGAGCGAGAAACAATCTTTAAAAAAACAACAACTGGAAAACACCTTTTTCTTTTCTATTTTATGAGCGACGAAGATGCCAGCTAGACAGTTCTCAACCCTTCAACTGCTTGTCACCTCGACGCTAATGGTTCACCTGGTGACATCGCAGCCCCCGAGGCACACCTACGACCTCACCGTCAAGTACTTCGCCGACGTCAGCATGGTGTGCGACCACCCCGAGCTGAACATCACCCTGGCGACCGACGTCCTCTCCCTGAGCTGGATGTTCCCCGACGGCGGCGTGCGGGACGCCAACACCCGGCCCGACCGCCGCTTCTACTCGCTCCTCGGACCGGACACGTCCCGCGACCCCAGGTACTCGGCCTACAACCTCACGGCGCACAGCGTGGACGACAGAGTGTTCGGCTACTACACGTGTATCGTCGTGTACTCTCGGCCCGAGAAACCCCCGGCCGTCATCAGGTGGGGACTCAACGTGGACGGGGCCGACTTCTCGGAGCTGATGGAGACGTACAAGACGAACGCCATCATCGGCGGGTGTGCCGCAGCGGCCATGCTGCTGATTGTCGGGGGCGGATGTCTGATCTGGAACATTCGAAATAACAGACGCAGTGACTCGCGTAACAGTGGCGGGGAAGACAAGGAGGTGTATGAGGACGCAGAGGAGGTCCCTAAGGAGAAGATCAACGTGCAGCACAACCAAGCGTACTCCAGCGACATCGAGACAGCAGACGGAGACATCCACGCTGAAAATGGTGGAAATGGCTTCAGTGTTAAGATGTAGATCTATAATGTTGTCATCCAAGGGATCCCTTGTTCTGACTCATTGTACCCAAGATTACTATTACCATTCGTTGCATTAATACAGCACAAATGATACATGCTAATAAAAGTAGCGTAACAGTTAATTATCAACTCTTACTTCCGTAATATACAAACATTGTAACACACCTTTATTTATATATTTATACATTTGGTCAGGTGACTTTTGTGGATCTATATCTTCATTTGGTTAGGTGAGGTTTCTGGATATATATTTATTTGTTCAGGTGATGTTTGTGAATATATATTTATGTCGATTTTCGGAGCATCTTCATCTAGAGCAGGGATTCTTAACTTTTTTGTTTCAAGGACCCTTTTGTCAAAGGATGGCTTCTTAGAATAAAGTTTTTATTGCGTGACATAATTGACAAAGAAATGCAGTTCAAGGAACCCCTGGCACAATTTCAGGACCAATTTCTACATTGATCCCAGGTTAAGAGCCTTTGATCTAAGAGTAATTTTTTTAAAAAACATTTCAATTTGTCAAAAATATTATTTTAAATTACGAACCCTCATAAGTACCTTTTAGCTACAACAACCCTCTTAAATACCCCTATAGCTACAACAACTCTCATAAATACCTTTCTATCTACAACAACTCTCATAAATACCCTTCTAGCTACAACAACTCGAATAAATACCTTTCTAGCTACAACAACTCCAATAAATACCCTTCTAGCTACAACAACTCTCATAAATACCCTTCTAGCAACAACAACTCGAATAAATACCTTTCTAGCTACAACAACTCCAATAAATACCCTTCTAGCAACAACAACTCGAATAAATACCTTTCTAGCTACACCAACTTTCATAAATACCCTTCTAGCTACAACAACTCCAATAAATACCCTTCTAGCAACAACAACTCCAATAAATACCTTTCTAGCTACAAACACTTTCATAAATACCCTTCTAGCTACAACAAAACTCATAAATACCCTTCTAGCTACAACAACTCTCATAAATACCCTTCTGGCTGCAATGATATCGTTAAATAAATATTCCAGCGATACTCGCGTCATGCTATGTCAAGAACACTGCACTTACAGAATAAATCAGTCGAAGGGATTCTAAACAATTTGTATTAATTGCAATTTATATCACAGGGAATAAAGACTGGGTAATCTCATAACAATGATTTGTGTAGATACATAAATTATGTTTAAGAAATAGAAGCTAATAACTTTTGTGTATTTACCAGCAACATACAAACAATTTTAATGTAACCTTTCATTTGGATGCTACTTGTGAGATTGTAACCTTTCATTTGGATGCTACTTGTGAGATTGTGAACTTTCATTTGGATGCTACTTGTGAGGTTGTGAACTTTCATTTGGATGCTACTTGTGAGATTGTAACCTTTCATTTGGATGCTACTTGTGAGGTTGTAACCTTTCATTTGGATGCTACTTGTGAGATTGTAACCTTTCATTTGGATGCTACTTGTGAGATTGTAACCTTTCATTTGGATGCTACTTGTGAGATTGTAACCTTTCATTTGGATGCTACTTGTGAGATTGTAACCTTTCATTTGGATGCTACTTGTGAGATTGTAACCTTTCATTTGGATGCTACTTGTGAGATTGTAACCTTTCATTTGGATGCTACTTGTGAGATTGTAACCTTTCATTTGGATGCTACTTGTGAGATTGTAACCTTTCATTTGGATGCTACTTGTGAGATTGTAACCTTTCATTTGGATGCTACTTGTGAGATTGTAACCTTTCATTTGGATGCTACTTGTGAGATTGTAACCTTTCATTTGGATGCTACTTGTGAGATTGTAACCTTTCATTTGGATGCTACTTGTGAGATTGTAACCTTTCATTTGGATGCTACTTGTGAGATTGTAACCTTTCATTTGGATGCTACTTGTGAGATTGTAACCTTTCATTTGGATGCTACTTGTGAGATTGTAACCTTTCATTTGGATGCTACTTGTGAGATTGTAACCTTTCATTTGGATGCTACTTGTGAGATTGTAACCTTTCATTTGGATGCTACTTGTGAGATTGTAACCTTTCATTTGGATGCTACTTGTGAGATTGTAACCTTTCATTTGGATGCTACTTGTGAGATTGTAACCTTTCATTTGGATGCTACTTGTGAGATTGTAACCTTTCATTTGGATGCTACTTGTGAGATTGTAACCTTTCATTTGGATGCTACTTGTGAGATTGTAACCTTTCATTTGGATGCTACTTGTGAGATTGTAACCTTTCATTTGGATGCTACTTGTGAGATTGTAACCTTTCATTTGGATGCTACTTGTGAGATTGTAACCTTTCATTTGGATGCTTATTGTGAGATTGTAACCTTTCATTTTGGATTGCAAATGTGAGACGTATTAAATATTTTTATATTAAAGATTTTTTGTGTGCTTATAACTTATAACCAGATTGTAATCCCGATACCACTTTGAGAAGGTCTGTTGTGTTTAACTGTGAGATATTGTAAAGTACACATTTTATCCTGCTGTGTACACATGTTTAGGAGAAATAGATGTTTAAGAAAAGGACAGATCTGTGCATGTAAACAATGCTGATTAAATTTACGAATTGTTTTAGAGAGGCCGAGAAAGCCCAAGATAAAGAAAAAAAAATAATAATATTTTTTTAAAATGTATTTATTTTTTTTGTAAAAGGCCTGCCACATAATTATTCTCCTCATGACCTAATGAATTGCGAGGACGATCAACAATGGACTACAGGTGAGATTAATCATGATAACCCCATAAACACCTTGTTAAATTTTAAATATAAGTTGAGGTTAAGCAGTGAAAGGAAACGTTACCAGCAGACATATTAAAGTCGGACAAGTTGCGATTTAAACAGACTATTGGAAGAGCTGCTCGATAAGCAGACTTTTGGAAGAGCTGCTTGATAAGCAGACTATTGAAAGAGCTGCTTGATAAGCAGACTCTTGGAAGAGTTGCCGTTTATATAGAGTTTTACAAAAGTCACTGTTTATAGGTGAACAGTAAAAAGTAGGGACATCCCTGCTAACTTCAGAAACACCATCTCCAGCACACTCCCTGGCCAGACAGCAGTGAATGTTGCACTGTTAATATTGACATAGGTAGTGAACTGCTGTCACAAGACCGAGGTAGAGGCAAAATTTGAAAATTCACACAGGTGACATTGTTCGTCAGACGTATTTGGTTATTTTTAGCTGAAGCCATGACGTCATCTATTGACATCGCTCTATATATAGAGAACGATAAAGAGAAGGGAGTTTATTTTTAAGACGTTTACTGTATATTATATGTCCCATTTAAAGTACACAAGCCAGCCGAGTTAGTTGTCGAAGAGACAAGCTTACAGCTTTTGTGTGCTGGGGATTGTATCATTATGGGGAAAGGGGGGGGGGGCGGCGCAAACCAGGGATTCCAGAGTCTGGTGGTGAGGTTTCATTTCCCTGTACATAGAGTAATCATGGTACCCCTTTTTGAGCGCCGCGGTATTTTTGTGTGAATTCTTACAGCTTTTGTGTGCTGGGGATTGTATCATTATGGGGAAAGGGGGGTGGGGGGGCGGCGCAAACCAGGGATTCCAGAGTCTTGTTGTGAGGATTCATTTCCCTGTACATAGAGTAATCATGGTACCCCTTTTTGAGCGCCGCGGTATTTTTGTGTGAATACACTGTCGTAGCAATGAAGGGTGGAGGTGGGGGCAGCGATCCGGGCAGCTCTTTTTATCTATATATTGAGGGGCGGCCGATTGCAGAGGGTCTTTTTTTCGTGGGGTGGTGATGGATTAATCTTGGTCCGCCCCCGACGGTACTAACCTTAGCTACGCCGATGTGTGTGATAGCATCTAAAGATCATATTATGTTCCCGAACCTATGTTTCCCCACAGCCCATGAGGTTTATCCCCCCTCGCAAACCCCACCCACCTAGTTTTGTCCTGTCTAATGTTGCCCAACGCCCCACTAGTTTTGTCCTGCCTAACATTGCCCAACGCCCCACTAGTTTTGTCCTGCCTAACATTTCCCAACGCCCCACTAGTTTTGTCCTGCCTAACATTGTCCAACGCCCCACTAGTTTTGTCCTGCCTAACATTGTCCAACGCCCCACTAGTTTTGTCCTGCCTAACATTTCCCAACGCCCCACTAGTTTTGTCCTGCCTAACATTTCCCAACGCCCCACTAGTTTTGTCCTGCCTAACATTTCCCAACGCCCCACTAGTTTTTAACGAAACCCCCCCCCATACCCTACAAAAATGCCCCTTCCCCCCCCCCCCCCCAAACCCAACCCTGTATGCGTAAATGTCACTTTTTGAAGCACCGGATTAACACATGAAATGACTGAATTAAAAGCCAGGTAATATGCTTACCTGAACGTCAACAAATAGAAGATATTGGTAAGAAAAGTGCAAAACACCAATCCAGATATGTATACTGTCTCCATCACGCTTTGCTGAGTACATCTGTAACACACTCAGAGTTTTTCTAATTTCTACCAATATTGTCAGCTTGATTGTGCGTGTTTTGTGTGTGTGTATGTGTGTGTGCGTCTGTGTGTATGGAGTGCTCACTTTTGTCTTTGTCTTAAGTGTGAACAGAAAATCACCAAGATATTGTACAACATGACGAGTAGATAATGTTTGATTGTAAAAGCCATTGTAAGTGTGAGATGGGGGGGGGGGGGGTTGGAATGTATGAAGGTTAAAAGGTTGTTAATACTCGATCACGGACAAGGGAGGCGTGTACAATCCCTGTTGCTTTGTCTGTAAGAGGGAATAAAGTAGTTGTACGCTATTTAAAAGGGATATCACTTTTGACAAATACAATAAGATTGTTACCTCCCATTTTAAAATGTAAATTTTTTTTAAAGTTACTGAAAAGAATTAGATAATTTTTTTTTATAGTTTTAAAAATCCTGAAAAAATATTTATCATCCCTGTATCTTGACAATACATGGTAATGTAATAGCAGAACACATGATGGTCATAGTACAAAACATGATGGTAATTGGACATAAACATAATGGTAATATAACAACACATGATGGTAATAGGACAACACATGATGGTAATAGGACAACACATGATGGTAATAGGACAACACAACACATTAACGCAGTTGTTGACAGCACAAAGTTTAAGGTAAAATATCATGACGACCTTATTCTTCTGACTTTTTAATGAGCTTACAGAGAGTGTATTTAAAATTGTATAAATGTCATAACATCAGCGTCAATAACAGCAACAAAGAATAATATTTACAAAAACATATTTCTATATATTTGACAATTAAAAATTTTCAGAATCATTTAAGTGACAAACTCGATATTTTTTTTAGTAAGAGATATTCAAATAAAATCATTACAATTTTGCTCTATCTTAAGTTTTAACCTGCTATTTCCTTGTGCTCAATGCTTTGAATAACTATCTATGTACAGATGCGTAATCCTACTGGACCTGACATCTCACATCAATCAACGAAAACACTCAAAGTTTTAGTTGGTATTTTTTTTTTCTGTAAAGTGTTTACACGTGCTGAAAACAAAACAATTAGAAGACATGGTTTGGCGAAGCATGAAACTTAGCGATTCAAGAGATCAGAATAGGAGCAGAGAGATTTTTAAAAAAAAAAGGGTTGAGATGAAGAGGGCTGCAATAAATTTAAAAAAGGGGGGGGGGGGGAATGAAATGTTAGACTTTTGGTTTGGGCGTGGTGGGGCGTGACAGTATTAAAAAAGGTATAAAACATATATTACATATATTATGTAGCTGTTTCTATAGTAATGTTATTCCATTGTTAGACTCAGAGAAGTTAGCAGAACCATCCTGTTACTGGCGGAAGCGGAAACGCATTTTGGTTGTACTGTTCTGTGTGCAGAGTGATATCCGCCTTAAAGATTTGTTTTTAAAATATTGAACTACTCCAATAAGTACAAAGCAAAAACTTGACACTTGAGGTGACGCCCATTTCATATGATCAGAAATACATTTGAAAACTGCCAGCGACTAGTCTACAAACAAGGAACAAGTTAAAATGAAGTGTTGTTCTAGTCCACGGTGAATACGTTAAAATTGAGTGTTGGCCTGGTCCACGGTATGTACTTGATCTGCCCTGTCCAACTCCACGTTGTCCAATCCATCGAACCCCACGTTGTCCAGTCCGTTCAGTGTGTCAGATTTTCGAGTCTCCATTTCGTGGTTTTTAACGCTTGAGGTGTCCCCACCAATGTCTACGCCGTTGCCGATGAATTTGTCCCTACGGAGCCGCCCTGCTTCACGCTCCTTCCTCTTGAACTTCTGCTCGGGTGTCAGGTACTGGAAGTTGTCAATCAGGCAGACCCCGAAGATGAGAAAGATCACGGCGCCGGCAGAAATGGCGCCTACTACGATGTTTCTGCGATACTGAAAGGGCAATCAGAAGTTTACATTGTGAGACTCGATTCTTTAAGGATGCATTAAGATAACTGATTAACACTGACCTTGTACGAATGAAATAAGTAGTCAATACTATTAGATTT